TATTGACTCACTTGTGAACTATCTTAATGTAAATCTTGCTTCTCATAATATACTATTTTTCAACCATGTTTGGAAGTTACCTTGGAAATAAAGTTGTTTAAAATGTGTTATTTTTCTTGTGCATCTGTAATACGCATACTATATACAACCTAAAGACCTTCCATTATTGTCTTTCAGAAACATCACGGTTATCTGTTGGCAATCCCCTGTGTGACGTAATGTAACCCTTCACAAGTTGTTACTTCAAATTTCGATGCGGTAGCCCGCCAACGTTTATTCAATCCAACAACGCTCCACATTTTTGTCTATTTCACTTATTTTCTTTCTCTCTGCAACCTTCCTTCTTATCTTTATTTTTACTTTGTTCTTTGTGTACCAGACAATTACAATGATATAAAATTTTAAAATTCATATACCTATCGGACTGTCATTAAGTTTCTATTTACAGGCTCTTTGGCCAGAAACCTGTGCTCACTCTGATCTTTGTCACCAAGGGATTCATAGAAGGCTTCTATCACGGATGTTTGGAACTCTTTGCCTTTCTTTTACGTAGAGTAAGAAGAGAAATTGATAAATGAAAAAAAAAAAAGTTGAAAGGAACTTCTAAAGAAGAGGAAAATAATTCCTCGGAAGGTAGATATGACAAATTAATAGAAAATTTTAATAAAATTGTTTAGTCTACATTACGTTTTCAGATTTATGTGTCTCTGTTATCAATGATTTCAAAAAATGACTGTTAAAAGAATTCTGCGCAAGAAATCGATGAGTATGTTTCTCATTTATTTTTTTAAAGTTTTCCCGTAATAAGTCCGCCCTAGCTTCTGAATTCAAATGTCCAACTTTACGTGTTTCCTTCTTTCGTCGGTGTCTCACCGGCGGGTGTAGTTGTACATTTCCCGCGAAGAGAGTGCGAGGCGGGGCAAGTAGTGCGCACAAGTTCTTCCTGGAGCTCGGGAGGGAGATAGCCCCTTTTTGCACGCGCCGCTCGCTGTCCCCGGGGGCCATGACTCTGCTCGCGACGACGTCTCGGGGAAATTGTTGAAATCTCTCGCGCCAACGACAGGGGAAGCGGCCCCCACTGACGCAGTGTGCGGAAAATTCTCATTATTCATTGCCAATTTGTTTAGTGTACAATGAGCATTAAGAATTTTACACAAAAAATATATTTAATTTACATTTTACTACTAAACTGTTCTGCTCCTTTCGTAAAAATGTTGTTATATAGACTTAACGCGACGCAACAGAGAAACAAAAATTACTCTGAACAACTCGGTTTACGAATTTCAATCGCGTGTGTTATTTTTATCTCTGGCGGTCTAAAACCTTAACAGCAATTACTGGCATTTTTCGACACAATTGCTGAAACACAAGATTTTAAGAGCGAAAATTAAAAAAACTTTTAAATTTTTATCACAAAATATTTGATACAGTTAAAGAGCAATAAAAAATAATGGTAACACAAATAATGAGACCAAGTTCATTTTGAGAAAAAAGGCAATATGTTTCTTTGCCTTAAGAAATAAATAACATACATGTGCTTTGTAATACACCTAGTATTGTATGGGAAAGGTGTTTTAAGAAAAAGAAAGAAAAATAAATTAGTTCCGTGTGAATAAAAGTAATCAGTTGTGCTTTAAAATGGTTTTCTGAAGTATTATTATAATACTTTCCTTCTTGATGAATATATCCCTTTCTGATACTCTTCGAATTTAAAACTATTTGAGGAAAATGATGAAAGTTCGATATTCTAGATTATTAGAGAAATAATTACATACGGCGTTTGTAGTAGGAGTAGTGGGTCACATATATTCCTAGTAAGTGATTGTCAATTTATTGATCAGTTTCCTTCTGCCATCCAAGGGCTTCTCGCAGTGTTTTGTTCTGGTATTTTCCCTTTGCGATCAGCAGGTGGCCTTGAGCGGTGGGCGTGCGACGGGAGCGATCGTCGACTGTTTTGGAACATTTGTCGGCGAGGGGGGGGAGAGGGGGAAGGAAGGGGAATGGCTCGTGTCGCCCTTCCCTCTTGGCGTGAGCAAAAGGAAGTGATCTGTGATTGGCGCAATTTCAAACGCATTTTCGCCTTGGAATTCCAACAGATCCGTTAGATCGCGATGAACGTTTGGTGCGCGTGCTTTGCTTGACTGCGGAGAGTCTATTTCGTTACGCTTATAAATTAGTTCGGGTGACTTACGTACATGCTCTGATAATTGCAATTTGGACGTGATAGTGTTATATTTGTTGGAATAATTTATCATTAGTAAGTGAAATGGAAGAAAACTGCAAGTGAAGTTGAGGTATACCATGCCACATTGGAGCAATGTGAAACTTCGCCGTTTCGAGAACGTAAGTACTAGGCTATTTATTACGCTTTTGTCAAATCAGGAAATGTCAATTCAAAATAGTGTTGATTACAAACGCCTGTATGATAATGTTCTTCTCTGGTAATTAAATTCTATCATTAGAAAAGCGTTCTTGGTACAACAATATACGGCTATGATTACATTATTACGGCAATATACGGCTCGTACAGTATTACTTTCAACTAGAGAATTCAAAATGTGTGAATTATGTCAACTGCCTGAAGTTTTATCTACTGTGCCGGGCTTTTTAGCGATTTATTTTTCAGAACTTTACTATGTATTATAATTTATTTTATTTATTTAATAGGTAATTATTACAGACAAATTAGCTTACTTGATCCTATGTGGCTAGGCCAAAGGCCTTTAAGCCATTACAATACCTACATCCTTTCGCTATTATGCTCAGTATGTATTATTGTATTATGCCCATTCAAATTACTATATATTTCTCCATTAGAACATGAAATACGACATCTGACGTCTTCTGACAGCAAATGGAATTTTTTAAAAAGAAACGTTAGCAAGAAAGATAAATTTACGTTTTGGATTGCACATGCATCAAAGAAATACTATTCATGTAACGTTATTGATATAAAATTGTGAATGTTGAGTATGAGTATTAGTAAACGTAGTGTGATGAATTTTGCTGTTGTTAATTGTACGTCATGGAATTTGGCAGATGTATCTCATGACCGATATAGTAAGTGCCGTCGGTAAATTTTAATTTACTAATTCTATTTACATAGTATAGAGAGTAGTTAAATGTTACGGCGAGAAAGTGCACTTTTTCGACATAATAAGTGTAGGTGACTGCTACCGAACTCATGGATAATTATGGTTCACTAGTGGGAGTAAGCGGCTGCACCACATCTTATTAATATAAATAATTTTGGTACTTAAAATGTTAATAAAAAGCGTACTTTTATGGCATTTAATAAATAGGTTAAAACATCTATTAATAATGTTGATTACGGGACACTTTGGCGCAAGATATTTATTCACATTGCTTTAACTATTTATAAAAAATATTAACATACGTATTAAAGTACTAGGAAATATGACTTTGTGTGTCGCAATGTTATAATTTTCTTTAAGATTTTCTCTTATTCAGTGGCGGCACCATCATTTGCATGGAAAATTTTGCCAAACGGTACATAATTTATTTGTTTAGGGAGACTGGCGTCGTTAATTCTAACAATTCGGTGGTACTAATTTTTGTTTCTGTTTTTGGACTCTTTCTAGGAGGTTAAAATATTTAGTTCTCGTCGTATATACACATATTTATTATGATCCAGTAAAGTATAGTTAGCCATACTTCACAGGAATGTCGTTTCGCTAGTTTCAATGTTTCTTTTTTCCTACTTAACGACCAGTTTTCGCGACCGTAGGTTGGTGCTGGCACGGCAAGCGTTTTATTGTGTTTTAACTGTCTCTTCGGGTTTTATTTCTAAATGTTTTTCTTATTGTTCCGACATTTTCTGGTATATACTTAGACATCAAGACCACTTTCTATTAGATATGACACACTGCTGCCTAAGTTATGAAAGGTGCACACTTGTTCTAGCTTTTTATTATTTAAATCTATTTTACACTTGTCATATTCTGGATCAACAAAAACCATGGTTTTAGATTCGGAATTTGATATCTAAAGATAATATTGCTCCATTAAGTTTTAAAACTTTGTGGAGATTATTTCCTTTACAATACCATTGCTCCATTACTTTTTGTAATTTGTTAGCCGCTATTTGCAAGTTATTTTCAGATTCTGCAACAAGTAGTGGATCATCTGAAATAGCGTAGTCTTGAAGGGTATGTTGCCATTCCAGGGGGTGATGATGTTCACCTTTCTTCTATAGCCGAATTCATATTAAACAGTGTCGGTGATAATGGACTACCTTGCTTTACGCCTTGGTTGACCAAAGATGTATTGTTGTGCTTGTCATTTATTTGTAATATTTGGCGTTTTTATCAAGATATTTTAATGTTTTCAAAAGACAGTTAGGATAGCATTTGGTATACATTATATCCCATAACTTTTCTCTGTAAATGGAATCAAAAGCTTTTTCGTAATCCACGAAGAGTATAAATGTTGGGAGATTGAATTCTCTTCTTTTTTGGATAATTTGCTGTAGGATATAAACACAGTCTGAGCAATATCTTCCTTTTCTGATGCCTGATTTCTCTTCTCATAATACATGACTTATTACATGTAGTCGGCCTGTGATTATTTTAGCGCACAGTTTATAGGCTGTGCTTAGCAAACTAATTCCTCTATAATTATTCAGATTTGAACGATCGTCCTTTTCATAGATTGGAATGCTTGTTTATTGTTCCCACTCTCTTGGGATACTGTAAGTTGTCCAGCACAAGTTTAATACAGCCAGAGGCGTTGTTTAATTGTTTTGAGAGAATATTTCAGCAGTTCAATGTTTACTCCATCCCTTCCTGGGGTTTTCTGGTTCAATATTTGGGTAGTAATTCCTTAAAATATAGGCTTCATGGATATGTCTACAGTTCCCTTACTCCACCTTAGGTGTCGCATCTCTTAATGTAAGACGCTTTTATTGTGCCAACCCAAATCCTCTCTGTTGCCTAAATTGCTTTGGATGCAATGACTATCAATTGTATTTTCTCTTTCAGGTATGTGACTCCCTGTGCGCGACTTCTCTGCTTGCGTTTCTGGCCACTTGGCAGCGCTGCCTCGCAGAGGATTGAAGGTGTGCGTGAGTAATTTTGTAGAAATCAAGAAACTTTAAGCTTTTGATGGGTGATTTAATTAATTGCACTTAGAAATATTTATAACTTATAGTGTTCTACGCAAAATTGTTGAATATTAAATTAATAGCTTTGCCTTATCTCGTCTCGACTAAACAATGCTTACGCTTTAACGCAAAATATATCATTTGTGTAATTGAAGAAAACTACAAATTTTGCTGAAGTGAGTAGAACATTGGTTTTCTATGATACACATTACTAATACATAAAACGTATTTCCAGAAGATTGGTTTTGTATGTACACATTTTGTGACAACAAGTCCGAAAGTGATTGACATGTGCAGAATGCATCAGGGGCGGGGGCGAGTTAGAGAAAAGCTAGGGCGTTACTTCGAAGTGTTGTATAGCGCTCAATTATGGTTTGTATGTACGCACTGATACACTGATAATTTTAAAATATAGAAGGCGTAGCAAAATATTAAGTAATCATAACCGTTATATTTTTTTTAATTATAGAGAACTAAGAAAATGATATTTAGTATATTTTGAACCCCCTTTGAACCTGGGTATGCTCAAAGATGTAAGTGGTCTTTTTTCAAAGCTTAATAGAATACAAGTTGAGGTCGTAATTACGGTGGAATACTATGCCAACATGTGTCTGACACTTTCGCTGGATAAATCGTCAAATTTAAACAAAAATGTTAATTCATTTAAATTTTTATGAAGTTGATAAAAAGTTGTACGATATCCTCTTATTACATAACTGGATGGGTCATCGAATTATACCAGTCTCCAGTGTTGTGTCATGATGAGCTTTTATGCTTCTTCCGTGAATGGCCACGAGAGCGCTGTTGCAGTGTGTGCGGTCGCGAGCATTTGAGGGAGCGCCGATGCTGGACCGCGTCGACGAGCGCTGTCCGGGGGGGGGGGCGCGGCCAATGACAAAGCAGTCAAAGCGTCTCTCGTCCATCCATCAGACGTGGCTCGCTCGCATTGGTTGCCGAGGAGGCGACGGCGGGCAACAGCCCACGCTCTGTTCGCTCTGCTCGGCGCTTTGCTCTCGTGCACTCCTTTGAGCAATTCTGGCTTGTATTAATTATACCAACTCTACAGGTTACGCTTTTACAAGATACGAGACCAAATTGAGCGTTCTATAATGTTGTGATTAATTTTTATCAAGACGACTGGACATCCTTGGACATTAAACTTCGTGCACTAGTGATAATGGGTGACTTTTAGTGTGTTTGAAAAATAAATGACAATATAATGACTATTTTCAGTGACAATCGTCAATTTTTTGTTTCGTGTTACTGGATAATTGTCGTATAGATATTTTGAATAATATTAATTATTTTAAACAATTACGAGTATCTATTGGTGATTTTAAAATAAAACTACGTAATTTCATATAGGTTTGTGTAACATATTTGATATCAAAGAGCAAACAGGCTTTCAAAACATTTGAATTGGAATATATTTAAAAATACAAATTCTTTAATTTGAAAATATCCTATAGACGTTCTTGATTGCTTACATTAATAGAAACTAAGTATTAGATATTTAAAAAAACTAAATTCTGTGTCTCATTCTCGTAAAGCAGAAAGCGCGCAGTCGTTATGAGAAAGTTGGAATGCTCAATTAAGATTTTCAAGAACACTAATTCTTCTTTCATAATTCCGTGAAATATCACATGAATATTATATGATGAAGGAAGTTCGTAATATATCAGGTACATTTTAATAATTGCAAACACATTATATACCAATAATACCTATTAATACCAATGGAAGTCAAACCTCTTCCCAAAATGCAAACCTGAGCCATGAAAACATTAAAACACACAACACACTAGAGTTGCTATATATATATATATATATATATATATATATATATATATATATATATATATATATATATTTGTCGTAATTCTCCTTCGCCGCCTTCTTCTTATCCTCCCCTCCTTCTCCTTCGTGTCCTTTCCTCCTTCTTCACCTTGCGCTCTTTCTTGGTCGCCTGGAGCGCCCTTCCGCCTCCTGGGCCGAGAGGCCCTCGCTCCACGCTCCGCACCTGGCCTCCCCCTGCCCTGCCTCCCCCTGTGTGTGTGTGGGGGGGGGCCTCTGCAGCTAATTAATTACCTGGCGGCGCCTGCGCGTCCCCAGGCAGCTGCCGCTTGTCCCTCCTGGCTCCCCTCGCGCCCCCGCTGCCTCGCGCCCCCGCTTCCTCGAGTCAGCGCCTTTGGGCCCCTAGCAAAATGACGCGTCCCACAAATTAGCGTATTTTAGTTTAGTGAAATATATTCAGATAATAGGCTAGTGAACTAGAAATGTCTTAAAGGGAGTTCCAATTGCAGCTAAGATTACAAGTAATACACGTTCTCTCTCACCGCGTAATAACTTGCTCCGCTCAGAATAAAACAGTTTCCTGCAATATGACGATTTGCGAAATGTGTAACATTTTCGTGCGCAGATGCAGACTGCAGGGTTATATTAAAAAATTCAATTGTAAAGATTTTACAATATTTCAACCTCCTCTTTCAACTTAGTGTTCATCAGGAACCCTGACTGCTTCAAGTACTATTCGAAAATTCTAACATTTTCTCAGTTATGATTAATTGGGAAAATTATGAAATAATTTGATAATCGCAAAAGATTAAAGGCTATTTAATTCTTACATCTAAAGTGTTGTGTTAATTTTTTATGTCCAAAAGATTGTCTAATTTCAAACTGCGAACTCTAACGCTTTTGTGTCACGTACGCCTCGTATTGTTTTAAATTAGCAAGTCCAGAATAATTATTCTGTAATGCCCGGTAGCATTTCCTTTGTAAAACTTTGTTAATTTAATTTTAAAACTTATTTTCTTGTAGTGTATTGTATACTTCCATATTTAATAATATAATTTGCTATTATTTTATTCGTAAAAATTTTAATAAGGAAAATATATACTTCAAAATATCTATATTTAGTTAAAGACACTTTAAATGTACCATATGAAGAATATATATAAAAACAAAAGTATTCGTTTTGTTTCTCTCTTCTAAATAAGACGCGAATAAACATACGTATTTTCCCAAAGAGAACATTTGTGATGCCAACAATGCTATTTCAACAAATACATCTTCCTTTAAAATACACCATGTATTTGCGATGTTCATGCTAGCTATGTAAAATAAATATATTGAATTTTTCATCTTTACATTATATTTGTCAAAATTCTAACAACCCCATGGCTGACCCGACTCACCTGATTACCTGGTTGCGTTCCAGCGTAGCCCCTTCTGTTCAGTCTGTAGAATCTGATAGGATGCTCAAAGGGCATGGTAGGGCCTCTTCTCGTGCTCAAATGATTTCATATCCATTCTATGATCGACGTGAGGACTCTCGTTACAAATAGGTCTTTCTCTTAAAACTAACTTGACCTATCGTATCTTACGCCCGGCCCATTCAGGCGCCGTCCCCGGCGTCCACGACGATGCGCGGCAATGCCCTCTAGCGGCGCGCGCCGCAGCGTTCGCCAGCGCAACAAAAGCAAACCTTCCGACCTCGCATCCATCAGAATGAACAACTTTTTGCTCTCGCCTCCTGCATTCGAATGGCCGAGCTTATGAGCTGCGGCAGCCCCCCTTGGTCCGCGGGATCACGTGCCTTCCCGCCACGCCCCGCCACGTGTCTCCTCACCCTGCTCACCAGGATAACTCTCAATAATAACTTTTATCTTCGATTACGCGTAGCTTAATTCCGATTTTGAAATGAAATAAACTACATTTAATAGGAGGGGATCGGCTTTTCTGAAATTGTTTTCAGTATCTTTGATAGATTTAGCTCATAGTTTGGAATCCAATTTACAAAATACTGAAATGGGGGACACTTAAGTTTTGATATAAGGAATAGGAAAGGAATATAAAGATAATTTTACGATATCTCTCTTGGTAGATAGAAAATTTTCTAATTATTTGAAAAACAAATGTAAAATAATTAAAGACGTTGTCATTGCCAATAATATTATTTAATGCAATAGCAGCTTTCGATGGCTTAGCCATCATCATCAGTTGTCTGATGTGAGTTGATGGATATGTCAGACAACTGATGATGATGGCTAAGCCATCGAAAGCTGCTATTGCATTAAATAATATTGTTGACAATGACAACGTCTTTTATTATTTTATGAAAAATGCCAAAGTTATCACACCACAAGACCTATAAAACAAATGTAGACAATTTCATTATGATCGAAACAAAAATTGTGTTTTATATACAAAACCAATATAAGTATTTTATCATTATTGATCATTTTATTTTTCTGTAATTTTATATTGATTATTTTCCATTTAATCTCTTTTTCTCTTCTCCTCTTTAGATCTCCCTTTTGAAATTATCACATTCAAAAATGTTTTAGACGGTTTTTTTCTTCATTTTCATGTTTTCATTTCTCTTAAAGGGCCTTTCACTATTTCCATTCTATGAAATTGAATGAATAATTTTTTATCCGTAGAGCTATTTATTTCGTTTACGATTTCCTGTTAGGTTTTGCAGTTCCACACAGAATAACGTTCTCCTCTTGATGGAGATTGCTTCCTTTGCAGCGAGCGCGTCCACTGGCACAAAGCGTTTGCCAATTAGGCTGCGTTTTAAGCCGCAGTCGCTACGAAACGCTTAATGACTCCCGAGACATAATATTACCCTGAATTATTCTATGAGACTGAAACCAGTCAGGAGTCTGCAATCCACGTCCGATAGAGAGAAGAGCAATGAAAAAACTTGAAGAGGCGAGCTATATTATTTGAAAATTGCTTTTGTTTTCTGATAGATTCTCCTCAAGTATGCAATGCGGTCTTGTTGTGTAGGATGCAACGTAGTAAGGGACTTCTTAATTATTTATGGTGTTCAGAGAGTGTTGGCCTGCATTTTAATCTTCATTTTAATTATTTAGAAAGAAATTGCGTTACGCCTTTTTGGAAAATTAAAAATTAAATCTCCGACCTTGCGAAGAAATAAGTGTTTCTGT